TCAGAAAGCAAGCCTAGGGGTATCAGAAAAATCTGGGGCCTTGTCCCCACGCACGGAAGCTCTAGCATCGCTTCCAGGGTCAGGAAGCTTCCCTAGGAGCCCTACAAGACCCAGGGCGGGGTCTGGTCTGAAGCAGGGCTGCCAAGCCAAAGCCCAGCTCTGGAGCAGGTTGGAAGTTTATGACTGAGGTTGGCGAAGTGGCCCCAGGCTCCCCACCCGCTGCCCTGCAGCGCCCTCTACTGCTGAAAATGGGCAGCCACACCTGGGCTTCAGAGGAAGGGGAAGCGGGGAGCCACAGGGGCCCAGCCTGGAGACCAGGGCTTCTCAGCGGGTCAGAGGGCCTCCAGGGTGAGGACCCCAGCCTCAGTCTCCCCTGTCTTCCCGCAGGTCCAGGTCCTTCTCTACTACCTGCAGCACCCCCCCATCTCCTTCGCAGAACTGAAGCGGAACACACTGTACTTCTCCACCGATGTGTAGCCCGAGGTGGGAGCGTCTGGGGGGGTGGCCCGAGCCAGCCTCTCCAGCTGGGGACCCAACCCAGACTTGAAGGACTACAATAGAGAACTCCCAAACCCAGCGCTCCAGACTCCAAGGGACACAGATTTCCAAGAACTGGAAGACGTGCATCTTTTGTGCCACCTTGTACAAAGCCAGCTGACCCGGCCCCAGCCTTGCTGCGCACCCCGGGCTCTGCCCTCTGTTCCTCTAGTTGTGTCTAATGCTCCGTGCTGTTTGGGAATTGTTTTACGTCTACTTGTCATGCAGGAAAGGTAGTGACCGACCCGGTGTGGGCACACAGACAGCCTGCTTTGTTCTTTCATTTCCTCCAACACTTTCTTTCCTCCTGAGTCCGGTCCAAGGGCTTTTATTTTGCACTCTGTGACTGCTGCCAGCTTCTCCTCTCTTGGCCCTGCCCCCAGATCGCAGTCTCCTGGCAGCCTCCCCTCGGTCTTCCTCCGCCCTCTCCTCCCTCCCAGCCTGCCTGCATGCATGTGCAGCCTTGGTTTTTGATCCAGCGCCTCGAAAGCTCTGAGGAGGCCCTGGGCGGCGGTGGCAGTGGTGGCCCGTGCCGCGCCGCCGCCTGCCGCCCCCTGCCGCCCCCGGCCTCTCCTTGCCCTCTGCCTGCGGAAGCGCACCTGCTTGCCTTGCCGCCTGTGCAAATGTTGGACAAGGAGACAGACTCACACTAATCCTCAGCTTAGCACAGGCTGGAGGGCGGATTTCTGGGATTTTTCCACCTGAGACTCTCCATTTCTGGGTTTATCTGTTCTGTCTCCAGTACCAGTGAGGCATCTTTGACTGTTTCTTCTGCTTTTCAGTTCCTTTTCCCTTGGTGTTCTGTTTCCTTTGAGTACACAAGACTCACAAGTGACCTGCTACCAAGGTAGCCAGAGGGTCAGGAAAGAATCGGGGGAGGTGGGAGGGTCAGGCCGCCGAGGAAAAGGGACAGGTGGGACGTTGAGAGGAGCGCCAGGGAGCGCTGGGTGTCCTAGGCTGGGGGGAAAGAGGCTCTCGGCAGCAAGCAGTTGTGGTGGCTTTTCTCGTGGAGCTGGGCTTCTGGGAGGGCAGCTACTACGGCTGAAGCAGGTGTCCAGAAACAGGCAGGTTCTGTCCAGGAGGGCTAGTCCTTCCCGGTGCCTCCCGTACCTCGTGGCACCTTTGCCTTAGGGTTTACACTTTCTCCACAGCCAAGCACTGCCAGGGGCAGCCCCCACGGCCACGTGTGCTCCAGGCCCTGGGAAAGGCAGGCACGGTCCAGCTAGCCAGCCGTCCTGGTGCTGCCTTCCACCCTCGGCTTCTAGATGCAGCCTTGTGGGTGAACTCGGGGAAACTCCAGGAGCTGGGGAAGAATGAGGAGTCACAGGTACCTGCCTCTCTCGGGACTGGGTTTTGCAGGGGACCCTCGTTGTGGACGCTCTGCTCCAGAGTAGGGGATCAGCAGGTTCCGATCCCAACACCGAGGCCCGCTGCTCAGCACTGGAAAGGAGAACTACCCCCAAAGTGCAATTTCTCCCCACCTGAGCAGGGGCCGCTGGCCTCTGGCAGTTAGCCTGGGAGGGCAGACACTCCCGGGCTGCAGAGATTGGAGCTGCAGTACACAGCTCCCTGGCTCTCCTATGTGGCAGAGACTAGATTCTAGGCCCTCAGGATTGGAGAGAAGAGCTCCCCTAGCTTGAGCTCAGAGCTGTTTTAAAGAAGGGTTTAGGGCCCTAAAGCCGTAGCACTTGCTCAGTGAGAGGAAGGGCCCTTTCTCATCTTGTTTACACCTGTTGCCCAATCATGGGCAGAACGGTACACATTCTGTGCACATCGGAGGAAAGAGATGCCTAAGAGGAGGGCAGTACTGACCCCCTAGCTGCCTGCTAGCTGCTCAGCAAGGAGCCCCGCTCTCTGAGACAGGGGGTAGAGAAAGAAGGCCGCTTGAGTCTGAAGATCCCCAGTGTCTGATCATCCCTGGAGTCTGCTCGGCACTCAGGAGCTGGTATGTGGCATGGAAGGCTCTTGCTTCCACAGCCATTGACTGGAATGAACTGGAGGGCCAGCTAGAGCTATTTACAGCCCCAAATGGGTGCCTCCCACCTCCCCAAAACAAGGGAGGTTTGCTTCTCAGCATCAGGTGTACTGCAGCCCCCCAACCTCACTCAGGCAATGAGAATGGGAGGAAGGCCGGAAGGGCTGAGAAATGCAAAAGGCTCAGAATATTTATAAATTCCACCCCCAAGAGCAGGGAGGGGCGGGGTACCAGACCTGGACTGAGCTGCACTGAGGAAATAGCCCGTGGGTTCTCCTACGAGGCAGGGACTGTGCAGCCCAGAAGCCCCAGCCACTGTGCCCAGCAGGGCAGTCTGTGCCAACAGAGGCCCGTCAAGACAGGCTACAGGAATCCTGCATGCCTGTCCTTGCTGGCAACGGCTGTGGGCCGCCGGTGTTTGCTGATACAGGTAGGATGGGACACTTCATTAATATTTGACTTTAATAAGTTGGTAAGGATATATTTTTCTTTGGTCTATGTTCTGTTTCAACTTACGTAGATTATAAATTGATGTAAACCACGTGAGAGGAAAATGTTAATAAAAAAAATGCAAAGCCCCAACATTTGCACACAACTCAGCCCTGTGGTGTGGACGTTTGTGTTCTCAGGAGTCCAGGGAAGACCACCAATCTAAATATTTAACTCTTCCAGCTGCATCCAGATGTGCTTCCAAGAATCTGTTTACCTAGTGAACTCACCCTTGAGCGTCCCTTCGGCCTGTGGAGACTGTGGCGGTTTTGGGGGGCTATGAGCCCGCGCCCCGTCCTTGCTCTTTCACCAATGCCTCCACCTCAGTCACCAGCCGGTTCTTTTCATGAAATACAACTGCCCCACCAGGGACGTGGCCATCAGTGTGCCTCAGAGAGATGGCAGGAAGTTGTCCATTCAAGTGGAGGCTTATCTTATGTGAATTTTCTCTCCATTTTCCTTGGAAGTAGCAGGTCCTTGGGGCAGCCTTGTGTCCTCATCTGCTTGTTGGAGTCTGCATCCCCTAGAGGCCCATCCTCCCTGTAAGAGCTAGTGGGGTTAATGTAGGCTTCCACCAGCCTAAGCCATTGGACACTGTGTTTATTCTGGAGATCAGGAACAGATGTCTCTGAAAATTGGTGTTTGGTTTATGAGCTCATACTGCCTCCTTAGCCATCTAAAACAGGAAGCTATTCATCTCCTCTCTTGATTGAATAGTCAACGTGGACAATGCTTGGCTTATTGAACTGATGGCTACTGACAGCCCGGGGCTCATCTTTTTCAAGGCAGTCGTGAGGACAGTTTCCTGTACTCAGTCAGTCAATGTATTTGACCCCACGCACTAGACTGGATGGTAGAAGATGCTGGGCTTCTAGCACTGTAGCAGGTGCCAGGGTAGGAGTATCTACTCTTGCTCTAAGTGCTTATAGGCGACTTATTTACAGACGGTAGAGGAAACACTCCTACATTTGTTCTCTGACCTGTGAGGATACTCCAACCAGCCTAGCCGCAGTGAAGCCTCGTGACTGAGACTGGGACAGGCATTCTATAGAATTCCCCATAGAAGGACATGAGTCTTGTGTACTGGCTCACTCATTCCAAAGGCAACAGCAGACATGGCCAGAGGAAGGTGTTACCAGCTGGGTTTGACATTATCTCACACACACACTCACTCAGGATGTCTGGATGGTTCAGCTGAGTCTGAGTTCTGGTTAAGGGTGGGTGAGCTGGAAGACGGCAGACAAGGGGGCAGAAAGCCGAAAAGAGGCAAAAAGGCAAAGGTAGAATAAAGGAGACGTTACCACTGGCTTACGGTGGCTGGAATTGCATGGCCCCCACCAAGCTACCTGCCTGTCCCGAGTTCATCCTCACCCCACCACCAAAGCACCCGAGGAAAGCAGCATCTGTGGCAGATCCCAATTGTAAAAGGCTATTTCTTTGCATATGGCACAGAATTAGGCTGAGCTGCTACTGTCAGAAAAAAGGCTACCAGGTCAAGTCAAAAACACTAATATGTTTAAGGAAGAAAGAAAAACGCTGACATCAGAGAAAAATGGTAGCGGTGAACAGCTCCTCAACTCGGTCTGATCGTAACCAGTGGCTGCTGTGACTTAGTCACCAGGAGGACCAGAGCAGGACCCTTCACACACTGTGTCCTTGAGCCGGGCCTGGTCTGGTGGTCAGAGCGGAACACCAGTGCGTGGTTTAGACCACAGGCATTCCCATTGGCCAGCCCACAGGAGGGATTCTTTAGAAGAGGCCAGCAGGGGTTATGCGCGGAATTTCAACGCATCCTAGGACATGGCTAGGCTGGGCTTCTTTAGGGGAAGGCCCTGGCCAACGTAACAATCTCAGTGAGGATAACGCTACTCTGCAGATCCTGGGAACCTAACGTTCCCAAACTTCCCAGGAGTTTGCTCACGCTTTCCCTATGTATGTTCAATCTTTGGGCACCTGGAACCATTTTTGGGAATTGTGGAATTTGAAAATAAAAATAAGCCAACCTTTTAAACTGTAATATAAATACATATATATATATATATATATATATATATATATATGTTTTTTAACAAGGCAGAACACTAAACAAAATGACATCATTGGTCGGATGGCATAAATTCACTTTGCCCTGCCCCAGTGTGTGAGATGGATGACGGCATGGAGGTCCAAGGTAGAGCAGCTTCCCGGGTATATGTGAAGTCCCCTCCATTCCCACGGCACCAAACCACCAGAGGGCCAACTGTGGTCAGGACTGAACGTCTGCGGGACTCAACTCCTACAGGTCAACACGCTGACTCCTGATCTGCCCGCAAGAGAGCGGCTGGCGTGGCACAGCCCCCGACAGCCTGGCTGGAGTCCAGGAGCAGAGAGCGTGGCCGCTCAGAGGTGGCAGATTGCAGCCAGGCAGCTCCCTCACGACACCAACTATGTGAGGGAAAACAAATGTCTTCAGTCTCTGAAGCAAGTGCCCCGGCATGGTGCAGACACTGCCCTACACAGAACAGCTCTGATCCTGGGCTGGCATCATCCTTCCCTGGAGGCAACTGCTCTCACCGTAGGTAATAATCGATCGCAGCAGAGAAGGCAGCAAAACCTCCACAACCAATGACCCCAGCCTTTACGCCAGCTGCAAAGCAAACACAAATGACATCACCTGTGGTGACAGACGCCGGGTCAGGCTGCACTCAGGAAGAGCCTGGGTACCCGCAGACGCAAAGAAACCGGTGTACGCGTTCCAAATCATTCAACCTAGCAGAGAGCTGGAAGACTTCAGTGAAGCTGTGCACACGATCTGATCCAGTGTGCTTTTATCTAACTGTACGTTCATTTAACTTCTCTCGTTCTAAAGAATTACTATTTCCAGCCTCATGAAAATAGCCCCTCACAGGCAGGAAACTGGTTAAGAGAACCAGCCCTTGGAATCAAGTGAAAGCATATGGCCTGTACCCTGATTTGTTTATGGAATAAATTCCTGGGAAGGTGATCAAAGCAATCCTAGAGGGAGCTGAGCCTCTCAAAGGCCCTGACAAAGCTGAGACATGGGAAGACCAAAGGGGAAGTTACTCCATAAATCACAAATGGCTGTTTGAGGAGGAAAATCAGGTTTTAATGATAGCAAATTATCCTGCCTCTCAGAAAATGAGAAAAAAGGCTTTTTGCTTTGGATAAGTCCGGGCACAGCAGATGGAGAGCAGCCCAGCAATGTACACTGTTAAGAACACCCTGTCACTGACGCGCTGCACCACACTCTTGACAGACACACCAACACGGAGAAGTGGCAGGGAACCGGTTTTTTTTCTTTGTTGTTTATAGATGATAATCCAACATTTCTAGAATACCTATATTTGGCTTTCAAGGGGTAGATATCTAAGAACCCTATTACCGTGATAACTTACACACAAATTAAAATGACAGTTGTATAGTACGAAGAAAGATGTCTGTTTGCAATGCGTGAAACTGAAATTTCAGCAGAGCCTGCCATTTGGCCAAATGGGGCCCAGCTATGCTTCTGTACTTTCCCGCATAGCAACACACACCTGCATATTATGAGGAAGTTCTTCCCGTACGTTCAAGATGGGGGCAGTTCTTTTTTCTAAGATAGATCTAGATCTCTCTGTGGTTCTCACCTGGGGGTGACTTTGTTCCCCAGGGGACATTTGGCAATGTCTGGAGACACTTTTACTTGTCACCACTAAAGGATGCTACTAGCATCTAGGGGGTAGAGGCCAGGGATGCTATACATCCTACCATGCACATGACAGCGCCCCCCTCCCCCTAGCAAACATTTATCTGGTCTAAAATGTCAACAATGCCAAGGATCAGAAACCCTGATCTAGATACTAGAAGTTTCCAAAACTGAGTTAACACAGAAGCAAATGTGATTTACTTGTCAGAAGGGAAGAGTATCAAGTGTCAATATATGCCTTGGGCTGTCCTTGGAATGCTCATATGTTTAGAAATGTCAACTTCAGCATGTTGTCCAAGGCCACAAAGAAAACCATCTGAGAACTGTTTACTAACCTCTGAAACCAATGGCTCCTCCAGTGATGCAGCCACTGATGACACTGTTCTTCCAATCTGATTTTCCCCGGTACTGTGGGTGGAGAAGAGCAGTTCAGAGCCAAAGAAACAAGCCAGACAAGATGATTAAGGAAAAAAAAAGACGGGGTTTCTGGCTGGCGAATTTAGTCCCTCCCCAAAGGAAACCTATCTTTTTCTCTTTCAAAAGTATAGTTCCTAAAATTTGAATGTGTTCATAAATGCTTCCTGCAGGTGGTACCAGAGCGCTGAGACCAAGTGTAACATTTGAGAAGTAATCAAAATCTCGTCTCAGTTCCCCAGTAAGTATTCTGTTTAAAATCATTCACTGGGAATTCCCTGGCAGTCCAGTGGTGAGGACTCCGTGCTTCCACTGCAGGGAGCCCGGGTTCAATCCCTGGTTGGGGAACCAAGATCCTGCAAGCAGCGCGGTGCAGCCAAAAAATAAATAAAATAAACTCATTAAGCAACTTCTAGCCTCCAAAAACAAGTAAAGAATAATGCAAGCCCAAATCATAAATGCACAAAAAGTTTACATTAGGGACTATTTCATGGAAATTTAATCTAGCAAGTATTGGACATTTCTGACCTGCTTTCTAGTAGCATTAAGAGTATTTCTCTTGAGAAGTCCCAAGATGGAAACAGGCAAGGCTTTCTCAGAAGGCAGGGACACTTACAGATTCTACCAAACACTCAGTGCAAGAAAACATGGCGCCCACGATGGCAAAATTTTTGGCGTAGGACATTCCTCTCTGCCCCATGTCTTTAAGAACTTCTTTTGCTGTAGGTGTGCGGTAAGGATCCTTAGGGTCAAAGCCCACATTGGTATCAATGCCAGCAGTGAACACCCCAAATGCACCTCCCAAGACAAATCCTAAAAACAAACACAGAGATGAAGATTTCTTTGGTATGTTTTCTGGATTACTGTAATGGGGTCATACTCAAATAGCACCTTTTGGATGGCCACCAGCGAAGAGGATGCCCCTTCTTGCCTGGAAAACTCTCTACTTGTCTGGTTTCCACGTTACAAAATCCAGAATCTATCTTGTTGGCAGCTTCTTCTCTGACTCTTCTTGGATTTCTTCCTCCTTTCATTTTCTAACATTCCTCAAAATTCAGTCTTTAGCCCTCTTTCTCTCTCTACACTCTCACATGTAAACCAGTCACCCTCAAGTTCAGGTATCAACTTTGCAAATCACTCCCTTGACGACGGTGACATCCGTAATACTCATTTGGTAAATACCATGTGCCAATCACTCTGACGCTTTATAGTCCCAGCCTCATTTATTCTTCACAATAGTCCTGTGAGATAGATATTATTATCCTCTCCTTTCTGTAGGTGAAGAAACTGAGGCTCAGAGAGGTTAACTAATTTCCCTAAGGTCACAAAGCTACCAAACGGCAAACCCCACACTGCTGTCCACAGCTGACCTTCCTGAGCCTGCTGGACATGTCAACATGGATGTCCTCTTGCCACCTCAAGGTCGGTATACGTTCAATGAAATCATGGGCACCTCCCCTCCAGACTTTCCTGCTTATGGCTCCTTCTTTGCAGTCACTCCTACTCCAAACTTCAGGGGCATTTCTGACTGTTTCTTTGCTTCCCCCTGTAACCCTATGTCCACAATTATCATCCTAGTCCAAGGCCTTTATCACTTCGCCCCTGGTGCACTACGACTCATTCATCATTTCAACAGATATGTATGTATTAGGGTCAAGCACAATGATGAACAAAGACCCAGTCCATGTCTCACGGAGCTTCAGTCTAGCAAGTTCCCTATATGGTCTCCCTATCCACAGACTTTCCTTTTCTTCATCACACTCCACCTTGAGTCATCATGCTCATTACCACTCGTTACCCTCTAAAAAACCATCAACGGGGACTTCCCTGGTGGTCCAGTGGGTAAGACTCCACGCTCCCAATGCAGGGGGCTGGGTTCGATTTCTGGTCGGGGAACTGGATCCCACATGCATGCTGCAACTAAGAGTTCGCATGCCGCAACTAAAGATCCCGCGTGCCGCAACTAAGACCCAGCGCAGCCAAAATAAATACATACATAAACTTTAAAAAAATAATTTAAAAACCATCAATGACTGCCCTAATGCCTGCAGGCAAAAAGCCCAAATCCCTCACCCCACCCCCAACTTGAAATGCTGTTTCTCCTCCTCTTTGTCTAACCCCATTCTCTCAATCCTCCAAGACACGCTCTAGTCTCACCTCCTCTTGTGGCCTTCCCCCAACCAAAAAAGATCTTTTTTTCTTTCTGCTCTACTTCACATGTGCACTCTCACCTACATTCCTTTCTTAATTGCCTTTCATTCTCAATGAGACTTCAAATCACCTGCAAATGTGGCCACCCTCTTTACTCTGCATACAGGAGGGACACATACATTCTCAAATCCTCAAAACGTTAAAAAAAAAAAAAAAAAAAGCCAAGTCCGGACTTCTTTCCCCCTCTTTCCCTGCTGTCTAGTCACACTGGCCTCACTGGCCTTTCTGTTTTTCTAACCTCAAGCCACTTCCGGCCAGACCTTTGCAGGTGCTGGGCCCTATGTCTGCAGAGCTCTCCTCCAGGCTCCTTCTCAACAATTTTCTATGTATATTAAAATGTTAGCTTCATGAGAACAAGGATCTTGTTCTCACCCTGTCTTTTCACCGCCTGACACGTGATAGCTGCAAAGCTGACACGTGATAGCTGCAAAGTAACAAGTTGTTGGAAAATGATTATTTAAGAGCGAATGAATGAATGAAGTCAACCATCTTAGAACCCCCAGGTCCCGACCCAGGATCGATTCTCTGATCCAATTTCCAGAGGCGAAAGCCACCCTCGGGATCTAGGGAGGCGCTGCTCGAGCTCACTGAACCAGGCGGGGGTAGGTCAAGGTCGAAGCCCATGGACTCCTCGCCTCCCAGGCGCGTGGTCTTCTTGGCAGGGGACCCCTATGCCGCCCAAGCCCTAAGCCTCCCAAAGGACCCCTCCTCGCCTCACCTCCCAAGCAGGCCAGCGCCGCCTTGAAGGCGCAGCTTTCCATCGCCCTCTCGACCATCTTCTGCTCCTCACTCTTGGCCGGACTCGGGATCCCGCCCAGGCTCCCAGGCTCCAGGAGCCGGGGCTGACGCTTGTCACCCACCAGGTACTGCAGAAGAAGGCTGTACTGCAGCGGGGCTTCGGCGGAAGCCGCCGCCCCAGGCGCGGATCCCGCGGCACTGCGGGCCGTCTCCCCCATGACTGTGGCTGCCCAAGAAACCTGGCTTCCTTCTTCCCACAGCAGATTCCACAAGCCTCCCGTGGGGCCTTGCGCTCCCAGCCATTGTGTCGCAACGGCAGATTCGCCACACCGAGCGAACCCGAGGAAGCAGCGGAAGCCAAGTCCGTTCGTGCACACCCGGCGGAAGAGCTATCACGTTCTCCCAGAACCTCCTGTGAATACTGAATCAGGCTTGTGCAGCAGTCCCAAGGACACTGACAAAGATTCAGAGTCACCAGAAAACACCCTCTTCGGGGCTGCAGCGCGGTGAGTATCGGGATTTGTAGTTTAACACGTACACCCCAGACATTTCCCAGGAAGCTTTGCGCGGGCACTAGCGTCTCAGCCTTCTCTCGAGCTCCTGACGGGCGGGAGGGAAGGGAGGCTGCAGCGCGCCGGGACGCCAGCAGGGGCTACGCGCGCCCCGCCACTGCCCTTCCAGCCTACTAATTCCTAGCGTGTGTTGTGAGATGTCAATAGGGGAAGGTGCTTTGTAAATCAACGTGAAAGCGTGGTATAAATGTATGGAATAAATGTTTTATTCAATAATTAAACCGTTGAGGGGAGAGAGAAGGAGCCAAAAAATGAGTGAAGCTATTTAAAAAAGAAGAAAAAGGAATTCCCTGTCTGTCCAGTGGTTAGGACTCCACACTTTGACTGCTGAGGGCCCCGGTTCGATCCCTGGTTGAGAAACTAAGCCTCCGCAAGCCTCGCAGCGTGGCCAAAAAACAAACAAACAAAAATAGTGATGCTAACCAAGCTTAATATGAGACAATGATAGGAAGTGGAGGTGGCTTTGGCCTGACGGAGAGCAAGGGAAGCTGAGGCTGCTACTCACGCCAGCCAGCTGTTGTCAATGGAATTAATGATGTGGGACTAGCATTCCCATGAAAAGCCGAATTTATATTACGCTGAATCAATTAAAGTGCTTACTAGCTTGCAAACTGAGGACTTGAAGGTTAACTGTGAGAGCACCGTGTATGAACCCAGAAAATCTTTTGCAGTAGTTTCTGTGGTACTAAAATAGATCCCCAACTGTTGTATTGATCCAGAGTAGCAGTGTATCTGGGTGTATCAGCTAAGAGAAACATAAATGGAAACAGAAGGTAGTGAGGTAGCCAGTCAACAGAGGCAGAGATACCTCTTTGGTAGCCAGAGTTCTCTGTGCCGCAGAGCAGAGTCTGTGGTTCACTCTGCTTCTGCTCCCACCAGACTACTAAACCAGCTTGTCCTAAGGTCCCTGGTGATGCCCCAGTTGTTAAGTCTAATTCAGACCTCATTTCACTTTACTGCTCAGCTGCGTTTCACGCTATTGACTCCTCCTTCTGTGAAGAAACTTCAAAGCCCCTCTCCCCTCCTTGTGCTACAGCCTCTCCAGTTTCTCCGTCTTCGGCGCAGGCACCGCTGCCTGAACTTTTCCTGTTGGTCCTCTCAGGGCTTCATCGTTTATTTTCTCATGCAGCTCACTCTACCTGAGCAACTCATCCGCACTCGTAGCTTCTACTACCACCTCTAATGCAGGAATGACTCCCAAATCTTCATCTCCAGCTTCGACCCTTCTCATCAACACAAGAACCAGACATTTCCTGTAGGCACCTCTAACTCAACACACCCTGCCAACCACCCATTCCTTCCAGATGAGTGAGGGGCCCAGGGCTCTGATTCATGCTGAGGTCTTAAGAGCTGAAGCTGGATCTGAGAGAAGTTGGGACAGGGCCCTAGGCAAGTCCCAGGCAAGGTGGCCTTGGAAAGCAAGGAATGATCTAAACAATTAATCCCTGGGACTAGTTAGAGAGCAATAATTAATCCCTAAATGAAGGGTCTGCCTCAGATTTCAGGTACGAGCCAACTCAGCATGTGGGGCGAGATCCACTGTAACCATGGTGAGTGAGGGAGGGAGCCTTTTATGGAACATAATGGCCCGAGTCACAGGTGGAGGCACAGATACACTGATCTGGTATCTCTCTTCCCCCACCCATCTCCTTCCATAGGTGGAATGCGTTTCACCTGATGGAAAACTTGAACCTCTTCAAGCATATTCCGAAAGTGAGAAGTGGTTTCTCATGTCTGTTTCCCTGGCCTGAATCTTTGCCAGCACCCTAGGGACTTTATCTGGCCACAGCTTCACTAAAAGTCCAGCTGCTCTCACGTTACAGGTTGTCTGTTCTGGCCGCAAGGATACAGAGGTGGGGCGATATCTCAGTGGGTCAGAAAGGAGACACTTCAGGATGAATGAGATTCACAGGCAGGGTCGTAGGAAGTCAGAACACTCTGAGTTGATGACCCATCACTTGAAGGACTCCAGGTCAGGGCACAGATGGGGAGGTGCTGAACTGGAGGAGAGCCTGATCGTCTCTCGCCCCAGGTGTCTGGGAGAGCCTGGCTGGCCTCTAGTTCTCTCAGCATGTCAGGAGTGCAGAAATAAAAGAAATAGCAGGAGTGGGATAGAATGAGGAGGTCCAAGTTGAGAAGTGCAGTGTGTCCCATGTGGATCTGAGTTGGCTGTGAATTTGGTAACAGTGAGTAGTCTGAATAGTCCCGTCGCTGGCAGGAGGTCTGGCCACATAGGTACTCTGGGTAGCCGACTGAGTCACCATGCGTGGTGGGTACTGGACAAGTGACTTTGTATTTAAAGCTTTTTTTTTTTAATTTACTTATTTTATTTATTTTTGGCTGTGTCGGGTCTTTGTTGCTATGCGCGGGCTTTCTCTAGTTGCGGTGAGTGGGCTTCTCATTGCGGTGGCTTCTCCTGTTGCAGAGTACGGGCTCTAGGCGCGCGGGCTTCAGTAGTTGTGGCACGTGGGCTCAGTAGTTGTGGCTCACGGGCTTTAGAGTGCAGGCTCAGTAGTTGTGGTGCACGGGCTTAGTTGCTCCACGGCATGTGGGATCTTCCCGGACCAGGACTTGAACCTGTGTCCTCTGCATTGGCAGGCAGATTCTTGACCACTGCACCACCGGGGAAGCCCTCAGTTAATAGACTCTTAATTGGTCTGCATGCCTCCTATCTTGCTCTTCTTCAAACCATCCACAGAATGGTCTTTCAGCACTGAAGCGTGATCATGTGCCCTGCTCAGAATTCTTCTCTGTGCCAGGATAAAGCCTAAACTTGGTGTGCTGCTTCTACAACTTGTGCCCAGGAAGACACATATGCTTCCGCCCAAGTTTAGTGCTTCCTCGAATATTTCCATTCCTGGTTGTCTGCTTTCTTTTTTTAATGTGCTATTTTAACCATTTAAACATGTTTTTCTTTTAAAAAAATTTTTGGCCATGCCATGCCACGCCATGCGGCATGCGGGATCTTATTTCCCCAACCAGCGATCGAACCCGTGCCCCTGCAGTGGAAACATGGAGTCTTAACCACTGGACCGCCAGCGAAGTCTCTCAGATCTCTGCTTTTGATAATCTCTTTTGGATCTGAAAGTGGTGGCTCAGAATCATTTGCAATAATGTGTGGTCTTTAGTGTTTGGGAGGTGAGTTTGGACTTTTGGACTCAGTGTCATTTCTTTGATTTGTGCCTTGTCCTCAGTCAAGTGTAAATTGTTACAAAATATTTATTATTATTATTTCTTAATTCTTTTTACCTTTGACCTATGATAGCCATGGTGACAACAGAGGTATCCTGTACTGTTTCCAGTGACAGATGCTTAGACTCTGATTCTGATGGGTGGTCTTAATGTTCTAGAGCAGATTTCTTCCACAGCATAACTGTTTGGAGGTTTTATTTACTCACCCAGACCCAGCAATCCAGATTTGCTTACTATCTCTTCTGCTGTTGCTTTGACTTTGCTTATGAAAAGCTATATTGGAGATTTGACCTATAGTCTGGCAGTCCGGTGGATGTTTAGGACCTACTTCAGACTCAGGCAATGAATCATACACTCTGGCTAGATCTGCAGTAGGGTCACATTGATGACAAGTTGTGATCCTGAGATCTGCTCTGAAAAGTATTGGAGGCAAGTAGGAATATGCATCATGTTTTTCTAGCACCTCACACTTCTGACTCAGAAAAGAGTTAAGAGGCTTCAAAAACTAGAGACCGGACTCCTGCTTTGCTGAGGGATAAAATGAAATATAGAAAGAACTATGATGGTGAATTCCCGAGGTTACATATCAAGTTGGTCCCAGAAAGAGAAGCAGCACACTTCTGCTGTAACCAGTGAGGGCAATGCCCCTCTCTCCCTTCCCTCATCTTGATCTTTGTCAAATCTCACTCCATATTTTGTTTCACTTACCTCTCTATCCAGCAATTTCCCTTATCAGTGGATCTGCCACCAAAGCCCAGCTTTTAAAAAAGGAAACGATAAAACAGATGCAAAAACTGTACTAGGGCATTAATCTACAGGTAAAATCCTTTTACAGGGAACTCCCAATTAAATGGAATACATTTTTTGTTTGAATCAATTTTGATTCATATTTTGTTGACTCAATTATTTCTTGAACTAAGTGGACTTGGAAAACTTTTATAATCAAAGTGTTCATTTTGTGCTAACAGCTTTGTTTTGTTTTTTTTTAACAGCTTTGTTTTAATGGCATTTGAATTTGTGTATGTGAGACATTCTGTCTCTTTTATTCTGAGACGTCCTGATGTACTTTAAATATTTTTCTCCATTTATAGCATCTTATCCTTGAATAAGTTCTTACTTGAAAATGCAAAAAGTACTTTCTTTTTGGACTAGATAATACCTTCCATATTTTTCTCACATTTATTCCCAGTTCTTCAATTCCCTTCCCTAAGCAACCTGTTACTATTTCTTTTTCCTATTTTTTTTTTTTTTTGGGCTGCACTGCGCGGTATGTGGGATCTTAGTTCGCCACCAGGGATCGAACCCGTGCCCCCGGCATTGGAAGCGCAGAGTCTGAACCACTGGACCACCAGGGAAGTCACCTGTTACTATTTCTTAAGTGTCTTTCCAGATATGTTTCCTCCATACATAAGCATTATATTTGTGTATACATATATATGTTTTTTTCTCCACTTAAAAATTTACAAGTGGGGCTTCCCT